AAAAAAAAAGAAAGTGGTTCATCAAGGACTAAGTTTTTAATACTTAAAATTTACCATATGATCTTGACCAAATTTACCATATTTTCATGGGTTTCATGCCATTGAAAATGGTCATTCAGTATACTAACTAAAATGAAATTATTCCACTACAGTATTTCTGAAAATGATCATGTAAGTATACCCTAAATATGAAACTTATCATTACTTTGTACTATTCAATTGATTCTCTTTCAAAATACAACTGTTTTAACTATTATTTATATTCATTAATTTATCACACATGTATCTCATGTCTGAAAGATACTTACCTCTATGAGGCTGGAGTGTATTCCAATCAGGTATGGCATCGGAGCACTAAATTGGAAATATATAATGTATATATTCATGAAGTTCATTAACACAGAAACAATATAAGTAATTCAGAAGGTTTAAAAAATTAAATTAATTAAATGTGCAGTTCTAATAGAGCCCACTACAGATAATTAAAATTATTCAATATATAAAAGTCAAATTTAATCTGAGAGGTCATTAATATATTCAAATTAAGGTTGCTTGGCATAAAACTCACAAAAGCATTTACAATTAAATAAAGAGTAGTAACACCTAAGAAGAATATTAGAGCCTAAGTCATAGTCCTGAGTTAAATCTTCCATATATTTCATATAAAACATATCCTAAATAATTAGCAAATTTTTTCACATTTCTTTTATATACCTTTTATATTCAATTAGATTCTTATTTCTATGATTCTCTTAAAAAATCATCATTGCTTCATACCTACTACACCACCAAAATTTTTTTGAATCAGTTACCAAATATTTATTAAGACCTACTATGTGCCAGGCACTGTTTGGAAACTAGAAGTTCTTCCTCTACTGTTATCATTCTCTTTCCATACTATCTTTCTGCTCATGTACCTTGTCTTTCATTTAAATGTTGTACATTCCTATTTATCTCACTTTTGCTTTTATTAATAAAGTAATTTTAATGAATTAAAAAATATTCAAATATGTTTAAGCATGATACTGAATTAATTAATTCTACAGATAAAATCTGGACCATACCAGGCAGTAGGACCTGGGCTAGGATCTAGGTACAATAATAAGTGATATAAATAGAATAGATTCCTTTGCAGATCTTATACTCCAGCAGAGCATACAGACATTAAATAATCTTTGTGACATAAAATCGGGCTTGCTTAGTAACTTCAAAAACATTTCTCATGAAATACACGAAGGGAATTATCCAACTTGACATTTCAAAATCAAAATATTATTTAACAAGAAAACGTGAGAATGGACAGATGTCTACAAAGGTGATAGAAGATATGCAAATAAATAGCTAAAACAATCTTTGACATTTCTTTTTATAGACATCTTTGTGTTATATTTAAGGCAAACATTTTCTATGTTAATGAAAACAACCTTTTTAAAAGAATTTTCATAATTTTCCAAACATCACTTTCACTATCAGTCCAAACTCCTGTGTATCTACTTTGCTACTGAGGACCAGTAATAGATAAAGCTAACAGGCACCTCGACAGACCCAGTTTTTCAAACGAACCTCAAACAGCTCCAGATTTATTTGAAGCTGGCTAACCACTAACATATATCCAGAACTCACAAAAAAATAAGGATGGTTAAAGTTTTTATTTGACTCCTCATTATCCTGTTCATTACTTCTTATTGTACTAGATTCTAATTTTCTTTTGTAGCTTTGTTCCTTCATATATATATATATATATATATATATATATATATATATATAAAATATAACAGACCATCTGGAATTGATCTGATATTTTGGATCATTTGACTGAAAGTTAAGAACTATTTACAGGCCTTGATATCCTTAAGACCTAACAGATTTTCTGCCTTCAAAAGGAAACAGGAGGAAAAATGTGGACTGTTCCACTTTTGCTTAAATAAAGGAAGGCTGATTACTTCCCTAGCTCAAGTTCTCATCTCTGGAATCCCTTCTGGGACTCCACAGAAGACATAAAATATATGTCACTAACTGTTCTGGGCTCCCACACTGGGTTCAGAACATTTTCACAAAACAGGATAGGCAAATCCCAAGATCTTAAATATATCAAGCTGTCCCCACATCCAAAATAGTAGAAAATTATTCAAGTTACTGTGCAAACTTCCAATTTACCCCAGGTTAGGTTATCCTACCCACAAAATTTACAACATAGTAAGTCTGTGGTATCTCAAATTTCTAAGTACATTTTAATATAATGAGTGTTGGGGCACCTGGGTGGCTCAGTCAGTTAAGCATCTGACTCTTGATTTCAGCTCAAGTCATGATCTCACGGTCCTGAGACCAAGGACGAGTCGGGCTCCATGTTGGGCTTGGAGCCTGCTTGGGATTCTCTCTCTTCCACTCCCTCTGCCCCTCCCTCTTATGCACACACATGAGCACATGCTCTCTCTTGGGGGGAAAAATAATAATAATATAATGAGTGGTAATCAAAAAATATGTAAGCCTCCTAAAATTAACAATTATTATTTCCATTTTAGTTGTTAGAGGAACACTTGAGTGGATCAGATTTCAAAAAATCAGAGCCCACTGTGCTGACAGCTCAGAGCCTGGAGCCTGTTTCAGATTCTGTGTCTCCCTCTCTCTCTGCCCCTCCCCTGTTCATGCTCTGTCTCTCTCTGTCTCAAAAATAAATAAATGTTGTAAATAAATAAATAAACAACAAAAAAAATCAGAGCCCAAAGTAGCAGCTAACCTATTGAAGTCCTATGAAATACATCTAAGGTAACATTTTTTAAATTTCTTGAAAGTTATTTCTTAAAATATAAAAAATAAATGTTTAGCAATCATTAAGCTGGAATAAAAATTCAATAAAGGGTTCCTATGTAGAACTTAGTAATAAAGTAACTTCTAGCTTTTTCTGTGAGATTACTGGGTACCTCTAGGTGTTTTTATCTCATTAATACCTAACAAAATCAAAAACATAGAGATGTCAAAACTGTAAAAATTATTAATCTAGAGCACAATTTATTAAAATGATTATGATGTTTTGCATATAGATTTTATAGAACATATTTTATGACAGATTTTATGTTTTATAAAATACACATTCTACTGAATAATAGTTTCTTTCTCACGAAAACTGGATTGTGAGCATCCTAAGACTTAATCAACCAAATCTCATGAAAAGCAATTCTGCAACCCTTAGCTGAAATCTCTTAATTAGATTTGGGTGTTAATAACTCAGGAAGAGATCCTTGGCGACACTGATGTTTTATCATCCACATGCAAAACTGTCCTACATCTTTCTGTCAACGAAGTCATTTTGCAAAGATAGCATACAGAAGGCTCTATCAGGAATGCTTCTTCTGTTGGGTAGCAATTAATCTTTAGTCAAAAGTAATCACCCTCTAACCGTTTTTTGTTTCTTTTTTGGTTTTCTTACAGAGACCACCCATGGGTAGACTGTAATAGCCGCCTATTAACTTAGGTAGTCCAAACACCATGATTTTCCATTTATTTTTTAAGAAACAATTCTCTTTCATGGAAAGAAAAGTCAGATAAGTTCCCAAAATAAAAAGGTGACTCAGCCACTCTTGAACAAATAATGAATGATTATAATTTTACTGATACTAGGGTCACACTACCTCCTAGGTGTTTAAGGACTCAGAACGGTTAAGAGTGTGTGGCAACATCATGAACTTGCCACATTAAAGTTCTGTCTCTATCTCACATAGTAAGAATACGTACCATGAGATCTGCACCCTTAAGAAATTTTTAATTCTGTAATACAGCATCGTTAACTCTAAGCACAATGTTGTGCAGCAGATCTCAACAACTTAACCATCTTGTATAAGTGAAATCTTATACCTGTTCAATAGAAACTCCCATTTTCCCCTTATACTGACAGATTAACAGAAAAAACGTAGATGGTGTCATTTCCTCCCAGTCTCCTTCCCTACCCTACCAAGCAGTGTGGGCCATTTCTTCCTAGGTGTCTCCTCATCTATGTTTCTTTTTTCATTTTATTTATTTACTTTGAGAGAAAGAGAGAGTGTGTGCAAGCGGGGGAGGAGCAGAGAGAGAGGAAGAGAGAGAAAATCCCAAGTAGGCTCTGCACTACCAGCACAGAGCCCAATGCGAGGCTCAAACCCACAAATTGTGAGATCATGACCTGAGCTGAAATCAAGAGTCGGATGCTTAACCAACTGAGTTACTCAGGTGCCCCCAACCATGTTTCTTTTACATGCCTCTGATGTAAGCCTTACAGTACTACAGTATTACTCTGTGTTCCTCTTGTGTGTGCATGTGCATGTGTGTATGTGCTCCATGCACATATGGGTGAAGTTTTTCCTATGTGTGGATACTGCAAGGGCAGAAATGAAGTTTTACTCATTACCTTACTATACGCACTGCTAGGCAAACAGGTGTTCTCTATATATTTGATGTATAAATGGATGGATAAATGAAGGAATGAACAAACAGGTTAGCAAGGCTCCATCAGTAGACCAACATGCTATAAACCTGCATGGTCACAAGATGGCATTATGGCTCTCCACAGTCTGTCAACACCAGAGATACCAGGTGGGAAAACAAAAAGACTTCCAGGAGAAAGGGTTATCTCGGGATTCAGAAAGTTCCAATCACCTTAAAGAAGTGGCAAATATACATCTATTCCATCAAATCTTCCTGGTGCTATTTTTGAAGTGAAATATAAAAATGTCTTTATTCAAAAACCATGAGATTGGAGGGATAATCTCTAATATTTTTCTCCCTTTTTGCATACAAATCAGCATGATTCTAGATCATTTGCAAAGATGCAAGGGGAAGAAAACCATATTCCCCAAGAAATAGTTTAGTCCATAAATTTTTTTGACAGAAGAGAGCTAGAGTCTTAGGCAGCTATTTGAAAGAAAGAAAGAAAGAAAGAAAGAAAGAAAGAAAGAAA